AATGTTCAGATCTGTCAAACTCCTTCTCCTTTCATTTCCTCACTACAGTAACTCATGCCTTTCTCATCGCCAGTCAGGGATTCTTCAGCATGGTCTACATCAGGGGTGTCAAACTGGCAGCCCGCGGGCCAGATACGTCATGTACAGGCCACACCCACCTCAGCTCCGCAAAGGCAAAAAAACATCACGATATGTCACGTGACGCAATCGAGTTTGACACCCGTGGTCTACATGGTGTTCCCTTTAAGACCACCCAGCAGCTGCAGTTGGTTTAAATGTGAATTGGCCAGTGCATATTAGCTAGTCTGCCCCAGTAAGAGAACGCCACAACTGTGCTGCAGGCCCTAAAATGAATTTTCAGGTAAAATTAAATTGCTGTACTAAAGTGCTATCTATATAAAGCTATAGATAGATGATCTTGATGGAAATATGCAAGAACTATTACCTAGGTCAGGGGTAGGCAATCTTGGCTCTTTTATGACTCGTGGACTTCAACTCCCAGAATTCCTGAGCCAGGAATACCCCTGACTTAGGCGAAAGGATCTGAAGCACTTTTATGTCGAGATAACATTTGGAAGTGACTCAGCTAGATTTCACTGGAGTGAATCAGACTTGCAAAATTTTGTTATTATAGGCAGCCACAGTAAAAGTATCATTAGCCTTCCTCTGGAGTTGATTTTCTGGTCTGGTATATCCACTGGGGCTGACAATAACCCTTCATGGCTTGGCACCAAGTTACTTGCAGGACCCCATTATATATGTTTCTAATTTTAATCCAGCTATAGATGTGTTAATTAACATTCACATACAAAATATAGAATATTTTGTATGTGAACGTGAATTAACACATCTATAGCTGGATTAAAATCCCAAAAGCCTTTTGAGATTATGGAGGGAAACAAATGTAATAATAAATAAAAATAAACACATTTTCAACATCTTGCTAATCTTTCAAAACAGAAAGTAACAAAATAGAGTTATCAATCATTCCTCTTGTGATATTTTTATCTATCTATCTATCTATCTATCTATCTATCTATCTATCTATCTATCTATCTATCTATCTATCTATCTATCATCACCCATCTCACCATCAGGTGATATCAATTCATAGAATCAGAAATTTTTGCATCCAGAATTTATGGAAGTCCCAGCTCTGGACTATTTTCCTTCACAGGATTATGTAGATTTATATAACAAAGCATAAATTATATCTATTTCCAGGGCTCAAACTGTGAGTACCATTTGTAATATAATCCATTTATAAGTTTATATTAAAAGGCAAGCATTCCAGAAATACCAAAAGAAAAACAACATCAGAACCATCATAAAACCTTATAACAAAGAAAATCCTAAAATAATAGAGAAGAAGGGGGGGGACCCATAATGAGAATGAAACCTGCTTCACACAGTTGCTAACTAAAGAGATGGAATATGGGGCAGTGGGGAAAGTAGCAGGTCTATGCGGTGCAAAAGTTCATTTTGGACATATAACGGTTAGGCAGTTAATATAATCACTAAATTGAGCTGACTTTATAAACTGGATCAACAATTCAGATTGAATTGAGTCAGATGGATTCAAATCAGTTCGACAGTCTGGCAGGGCTTTTCCACTCAAAGGCCCTTTTCATCAAACTGATTTTAAAAAAAAATCAAATTGAACCGGCTTGCAATATTGATGTAATGATGTAACCAAACTGATAAGAATTCAGAAGGCAGTTTTGTAAATAGCCAATTACTTTGCAAGCTCACCGATTATCAGTGAAAAGAACCATCTCTTTGCCAATTATTGGAAAGCTATTAGGAAGAAACTAACAAAGTCTCTGGTCTAATAAATTTGGGAATAAGTTGACTCTAAATAGGAAATGGTTCAATCACCCAAAACCCATATACCCTTTCAGTGTAATAAATCTTGTTAAAGAATACTGTGAAAAACATGCTTAGAAGAATTATTTTTTGTTGAAACAGCTATCGAAGAGCTGGGCATTTGACAGGCATCTATAACTGGATGGATACAGGTATTAAAGTAGACTAGCTAGTAAATCAATGAAGTTGCTCCACATGCCCATCCCTTCAAGATGCTCTTATCTCTCAATTGGCAACCATCTACTACTTTATTGTCTAAGCATGCCTGTGGAATATGTAGGGTTCAGAGGCATTGTTGCAAATAGATTCTAGTGGTGTTTTGCTGCTTAAGTGCTGCTTCTATGTTAAAAAATTATATCCGCTCATAATATCTGAACCTACTTTCTCAAATATACACAGTGTTCTTGTGTTATACCCAAGATCCCATCTTGATAAGTGACTTGGATTAGACAAATATAACAATTCTACATGCAAAGGTTGTACATTTTATTTTGCTACTGTTGATATCTCTTGTTAAGGTCATGGCTCAAAACAGCTTTGTAAGGTTTGTAACAATTGCTATTTTAAATATACCAACATAAAGAAACAAATCATTTATGTTTCTCCTAAGCATAATGTCAAAGGCAACCTACTGTGTTTCAGGATATACTTATGCTCTCAATTCTTGGCATATGTATAATCTGTATATGGAGCAGAAAGAACTTTCAGTGTTCTGATGAGGCTACATATGCTCACCACTTCTAATCCTACCAGATAAATAATCAGACAAGAGGCAAAGTACAAATTATTACTGGTAACAGGAAAATGGTTAATAAAGTCCTTTCTGTTTTAAAAATATTACCCAAAGACTAATATGACAGAATAATTCTTTCCCCTTCTTTACTTGTCAGGTCATATTCACCCAATCAATTCAACTTTTATATTTTGGGAGGGGGAAATAGTGTTCTTATATAAATGACCAAAGTTTTGAACGTAGATTTCAATCGCAATACAGAGAAGCTTCTTCAAAAGATGGTTAATTATCCCACCATCCAGTCAGAGCTGAAGAAGCTTCTTGAATGAGAAGCGGAACATCTTCAAAGAAAAACAAGCAAGTCCAGTTGCCTGTTGAAAAAGCACCTTTGGTTAATTATCACAGTTTTTGTCTTCATCTGACTTGCTTCAATTGGGTTAAATGAAAGATAACAGTTGCATGTGATTATTTAAATAGCAATAGGATCAGACCTTATCACCTGCTATTCATGAAAGAGTGTTTTAAGTCAACAATCTGTTGGGCTACACCATTTTAAGTCATAACACAGTTTGTTTCAGTTGCTTATCGCTTATAAACCGTTGTGGGTTTATATTGGTAAACTAAACAAGCCACAAATGCAAACTATGGTCTGTGGCTAGTTTAGTATGCCAGTAGCAATAGCAATAGCACTTAAGACTTATATACTGCTTCACAGTGCTTTACAGTCCTGTCTAAGCGGTTTATAGAGCCAGCCTATTGCCCCCAACAATCTGGGTCCTCATTTTACCAACCTCAGAAGGATGGAAGGCTGAGTCAACCTTGAACCAGTGAGAATCAAATGGTCAAACTGCTGGCAGCTGGCAGTCAGCAGAAGTAGCCTGCAGTATTGCATTCTAACCACTGCATCACCACAGTAAAATAAACGTGAACGTGTGTTGTGTGATCTTAATGATTGCATGAAAACATACACACACACAATGATTTTCTTTTGCTAATTCTTACCATCAGTTACCCATTCTGAACTACCATTTTCCTGACCCTTTTGGTGCAATACCCTTTTTTATTCCAGTGCATTCCAGATTCCTACTTCAGGCATTCCACATGCACATTTGAAAAGGGAAACACAAGTTTAGCAATTTTACAGAGGAAATCCGGAGAAATTCAGGGTAGACAGGAGCGAGTGAGAAAGAGGCATTTATCCTATAAGTTTCAAAAAATAAGTTTCTCTTCTTTAAATATAAGGGAGAACACTATGGAATAGGAAATATATGTGTACTGCAGGTAGGCCAATCTAGAGCAGAAAAAGGATGAAGGAAAGGATTAAACATAGTTTGTTACCATTCCATCACTCTAACCCAGTGAGTTCAAAAATCAGTTTTTCCCTATTGTTTTTTTAAACTTAAGTATATGTGCACTGTGCAGTTAAGGCCTCTCAGCTCCAAATAATGAATTGATTCTGGCAGATGACTTAAAAGTTCCTTCCCATGGACAACAAAATATTGGCTCCGGTACAACAGCAAGTATAACTTCTTAGCACCTTGTACTTTGCTTTGCTAAATGGATTATGAATGACTGGAACAAAACAAGAGTCTTTATCTGCCCGGTTCTTTTCCGTACTGTGCATATCTTACAGACAGGATTTGCAGAATTTGTGCAACCGGAGTGCCGAAAGAGCCCTCAATCTAGGCAGTTGCACACGAACACTTACTCATATGTGCTTTACAACTTAGCCGTGACAGAAGTCAGGGCACACGCTTGCACTTTCAACCCTGTTTACAATTGCCCAGGAGCTGAACTCCAGCGGACTGACTTACTACTGCCTGAGCGGTATTTTTACACTCTGTTGAAGGATGAAGTATTGGGCAGCCCAAGTGCAGTTAGGAAACGGAGGGGGGGGAGGGGGAGCGAGCCCAGTGTGTAGCTGGCCCTCCCGCATCAGGCTGCCCCCCCCTTAAGTTCCACCCCACTAATCTCGGGGGGGGGCGCGAGAGACTCCTTTCTGACAGCAGACAAGGGGCTACGTCAATCGCGGGAGGAAGAGCTCCCCGGCTATACACTTGCGACAGAACCTCCGGCATCCCACAATCTCCAACTCCTGGAGAGCGGGGAGGGAGGCCGGGCGCTCTCTCTCTCTCTCTCTCTCTCTCTCTCTCTCTCTCTCTCCAGCCCACCCTCCCAGCGCCTTCACGCCTTTTCTACGGCAGGAGCGAAGTGTGCTGGCCTTCCCCTCTCCGTTTCCTCCCCGGACTCCGGGGGTTTAAGCAGGCCACCAGGAAAGGAAAGAGGGACGTTAGAGGTCAGCCGCCGCCTCCCCTGAGCAGGAAGGGGGCGGCGGCGGCGGCGGCAGCGGCCACAGGACCGGCCGGCGCGAGTTGAGAGCAAACAAGTTGTCGGGACTCACACGGTGAAGTGATAGACGAAGCACTTCCAGCCGGTGGGTCTCTCCAAGAAGTTGTAGACCCGGCCTTGGACGTTGCTGCGGCTGAGCAGAGGTCTGCGGACGCTGTAGATGGAGACGCGCGGGTCCAGGCTGATCGGCGGGCGCGGGAAATCGGCGCTCATCACTACCGTGGCCGCTTCGGCCACTTCGCCGCTGGTCGGCGGCTCCTTCGCGCCCTGGGCTCCGGCGGGCGCGGAGACGGCAAACGGCGCGTAGTGGGCGTTGGGGGCGTGCTCGGCTAGCTCCAGGGCGGAGGGCTTCAGGCTGCCTTTCCTGGAGGAAAGGGACAGGCGCCCCAAGCTCCACGCCTTGGAGGAGGAAGACGACGACATCGTCCCGTTCTGGAAAACCGCGGGGAAGCCAGCCGGGGGCGAGCGAGGGGGGGGGGGCGAGCGGGAACGCTGCGCTCCCCGGCAGGCGAAGGCAGGCGCAGCTGGAGAGTCTCACAAACACGCACTGGCTCTCAACACTGGCTCGCCCGCTCCGTGCCCGGCGGTGAGTTTCTCCTTGGCCCTGCCCACAAAAGGGGAGGCTCCTCGGGAAAGGTCCCAGTTCTCCGGTTCGCAGCCAGCAGCCGCCCAAGGAGTTTGGGGCTCAGCGCTGTCGGGGAAGCAGGAATCCCGCGCCTACGGTTACCCTGCGATTAGGACGAAGTGCCAGAATACGTCTCGTTTCTCCGTGCCGTCCAAATTGGAAACGATTTGATGTGGTTGCGTTTCATCCCCTTCTTAAGTACACACACACCCCCCAAGAAGCCAGTCGGGGGTTGATTTGCCGAAGGCTCCCCGCAGAAGGGCCGCAGCAGATGACAGCCGACCTTGGCTGACCTCGTGAAAGTAAAACTGGGTCAACCCTGGTTTGGATGGAGAGATCGCTGGCAATTCTCGGGACTGAGAAGTGAAGCCTCTCAGAAAGAAAAAAAAGCCTTGCAAATCGTTTCTACTGAGCTGCTCTCCCCAACACAGATACACATACCGGTATGAACATATTCACACGAAGTCATTACAAGTAAAACTCAACTTACGGGTCTCTGTGCCTTAGTCTGTCAACACAGGAGATATTTTTTTTTCTACAGCTCATTAGAAATATTCCAGTTATGGACGTTGCTTGGTTAACTCTTGTTTTAGGACTATCCAGGGGGACAGTATTGAGCCAAAATGGGGAAAAAAATGACTTCAGGTTGGGTGCTTGAGGATTTCTACCAGAAGGCATATATTCGGAGTGCATGCAGGAGAGGTATAATGGCAGATATATGCATAATGAAGATGTATGCCACATTTTTCTGTGACAGTGTCCCCCTACCTTTAATAATCGAAGAGTCCTTTCAAAGCACAGACTATGCATACAGGTAGTTCTGAGCATTACTGCAAGACAGAGGAACAAGGTGGGTAAAGCAGCAACTTGTGAAACAGGAGACCCACTATCACAAAATAATCATTTTGAATAATCACCTGTACTCTGAGTATTACAGTGGCCACCACTTCTTTAATTGCAATGGTGATTGCAAAGATAATGCTCATGAAGCACTTTGAACTCTGTAAAGTACAATAAAATGTATGGTAAATCTTGGCAGCAGTACTGTTTCTTTCTTAAAACACACCAAGGAGTAAATTAGTCAACTGTATGATTTTTCCCCTCAGCTGTAATGTCGTCAAACTTGTCCATTGTGCCCTTTTTTTTTTTTTACGCAACCACTACTCAGTCCCACATTGAATAGGCTTGTTTGGGTGCTCAGAAAGTTTCAGCCCCTGTTGTGAGAAGCAAGCTGAAGCAATGCTTTCAAGCTGAACAAGAACTAGCCTGACTGCAGACAAAAGCATGTGTCAGTTAATATGCACTGATCCCAAGAAAATGGGGATATACAGCGTTCCCTCAGGGAACTCCGTAAAATGTTAGAGTTCTCACATAAAATATTGCAGTCTTCTAAATTGAAATGAATACCTGTTCGTAACAGGTTGCAGTTTATGTAAGCACCTGGCTATCAGCAAATGTATTAACAAGTACCAGGTGGCTGTGTCAGACAAGTAAGATAGAGGGAGCTAAACATTACTGCATAATATTGAGCCATCGAAAGCCATGAAGCATTTGCGAGCAGTTTTTTTTTTTAAGCCATGGTCTTAGCAGCAGAAACAAGAGAACAAAAATGGATGGCACCAGTGAGATAATGAATGGGTTTTCATATTGTAGTAGGCTGAGGTTTGTTTAGCCATGGTTTGTTGAATAAACTAGTATTGGCTGGATTTACACAATGTACTAAACTCTAAGCTATATTTAGCAAAACCACAAAGGCTGGGTTCACATAGTTTGTTAAACAAAATCATAGAGCCACATTCTGGACACATTTCTCCCTAGTTATTGTATCTGCACAGTTGCAGGTCATCTAAGCTTTCAGAATTCAGTTCAACCTGTGTCAAATCACTGCAACTCACTTTGGATCTTTTAGCTGGTTGTTGAGCTCAGTCTGCATCCCACTGTAGGATAAATCACTCATCTTTGGACTGTGTTAAATGCTATAGATAATAGAATCAAAAGAATCAGTGGAGTTGGAGATACATGGCTATGGAAACAGTGTTTTCCCTATGGATTTTTGTCTCTCATAGTTGTTGACGCTTGCCAGAAAAAAATATGTTGATAATCTAGTCCAGGGGTGTCAAACTCAATTTCATTGAGGGCCGCATCAGCATTGTGGTTGCCCTCAGGGGGCTGGGTGGGTGTGGCCAGGGTGGGTGCAGCCTACTGGGTGGGCGTGGGTGGAGTTGGTGTGGCCTACTGGGTGGGTGTGGCCAGCTCTACATCGTTCACGTCAAGGGTGCCTGTGGGGGCCTGGGCAGGAGTGGGACAGATCTGAGGGTTTCTGGCAGAAGGGGATGGGACCAGGGCAAGTGCCAAGGCATGGTCCACTGGAGGAGCCTCACTGTTCCTCTCAGGCCATGCGGGGGGGGGGGGCTTTTATGGAGCTAAGACTGAATGCGTTTCAGCATAGATGGCCACCACAAAATTGTACACTGGCTCCCAGCTGGCCTGGGCAAGGGCCAAGGCAGAGGGGGCCGTTCCCTCACTGTTTCCAGGATGGCCTCGCGGGCCACATGAAACCACTTCGCGGGCCGCATCCGGCCCCCGGGCCTTGTGTTTGACATGTCTGATCTAGTCCTAAAATGTGAATGTCACTGCAATTAGTCCTCAACTTACAACCATTTGTTTAATGACCATTTGAAGTTACAACAACACTTAAAAAAAGTGACTTATAGCTGGTCCTCACACTTACGACCAGCGCAAACATCCCAAATTCGGGCACTTGGCAACCAGCATGTATTTACAATGATTGCATGTCCTGAGGTCCTGTGATCATCATTTACAACCTTTTCAGTTAGCTTCTGACAAGCAAAGTCCATGGGGGAAAATGGAGTCACTTAACAACTGCATGACTCACTTAACAATTGCAATGATTCACTTAACAACCATAACAAAAAGGTTGCGAATTTGGGCATGATTCACTTAACAACCACCTTGTTCATCAATGGAAATTCCGATCCTAGTTATGGTAGTAAATCGAGGACTATCTATAAGTTACTTTATGTTCTCTAGGAGGAAATTGTCTAATTTTTAGACAATTTAGAAAGATATCTATATTATATATCCCTTGAATTTGTACAAATATAATCTCATCTCCCATCCTTTTAAAAGCAACGTTCTATAGTGGATAATGGCTCACCAGTCCCAAGTAACATTGAAAAGAAGAATTCAAGTAGTCTTGGTAGAAGACCATAAAGACACAGTGCTACTGTACCAATCTATATGTATATGTCAATAGTATTACTGAATATAGCCAATTATTATCTGAAAAATAATAGAACTGTAAAAAGTGCAGAAAGCAGATATTAAAATATTCAGGGGGCTCAATCATCTTATAAGGAAAATCAAATATGCTCATGGCATCTCAGTTTAGAAAAAAAGGCAGCTGAGGAGGAATGTGTGATTGGAGAGTAGAAGCGAAGAAGGAATTTTTTTTATCAGGCTCTCAATAGACTCAATAGACACTAGGACTAAAAATTATCCAGTGAAGTAGATTTGGAATGGACGAAAGAAACTTGGAGATTTGATAAATTCATGTAGGGTAGATTGGTCAAAAGCCAATAGTTTTGAAGACTCTGTGTTACTATCACACTGGGAATAGCATGCTTCCAAATACTATATGTAGGGAAATGAGTAGGAGGCAGAATGTTCCCACCTCCTGCGCATGAGCATTCCAGAAACCTCAGGTTGGCCACTGTGACAATCAAAAGGCTGGATTAGGATGGGCCTTGACTTGATCTAACAGGCTACTCTTATGAAAAACTAATTTAAAGACATTTCATTCTGGATTCTAACCAGTTTTGAAAGCAAAAAGTAGCTAAACTCAATAATAATGATCTTGCTGGGTCTTGCTGATATTTTTTTTAGCTTTTGACACTGCTGACCATAGTATTCTCTGTCTCTATTATCTGATTTGGAATTAGGAGACCCATTACTGTAATAACTTCTACCTTATCTAGATCACCAGAGAATCTTCTTTCAATCCCTAGCTTTTGATCTGCAGAGTGCAGAGAGTTTTAATTTGGGGGTATTTTTCCCCACTGTTGCAAGACATATGGAAGCATAAGTTACATGTCTGTCTGTCTGTCTGTCTGTCTGTCTGTCTGTCTGTCTATCTATCTATCTATCATTTGCTTTTCTTTCTCGCATAAGAATCTGAGAAAGGTTGTGGATCTCCTGAATAAACAGTTTGGTACTCTTTGGGGGGGGCAGATAGGAAAACAATTTAAAAGTTAATCCATTTTTGTGCATTTGCAAAAGAAGGTTGTTCTAGATGATGTTTAAAGACAAATGCAACTGCACACCTCTCCATAGATTAGATAAAGAATTTGTGGGTTCCCCTTGGGGGTTTGCTTGGTCTTGTTATCTATGAAACCCAGTGGCAAAGTAACTGTGAATACTTCAAGGTAATATGTTGCAACCCTGTTTTGAATCAGGATTATTGAAATATACTTCCTGTCGGTCTTGTCTGAGATTAGGCAAGAAAGTCCAGGCAGTATAAGCATGCAGCCGTCAGATGGTTGGTACAGGATAGAAAACAGTACTTGCATCTCATCGATGTCAGCAGCATTGGGTATCAAATTGATTTTAGAGGAATTTCTAACTGTCTTGTATGAAAAGGTTTGAACTATTTTATCTTACCGAAACCTGCTTGAATGCTAGTTAATAGTCAGCAGTTCCACTCACGAGTCTGCCAGTTAGAACAGCTAGATTAGCAGAGACAAGCAACAGGGCTTTCTCAGTGATGGTCCCTCATTGC